CTTGCGAGCGTCCATGCGCCGAAAACAGCAGCAGCAACAACAACAACAACAAAGGCAAAAACAACAGCAACAGCTGCAACAGCAGCACTCGTCTCAGCAGTTGTCTGGCCTGTCATCAGTCGCCTCCTCGAGCAACAACCTCCTCTTCAAGGAGTTGTCTAGCCTGTTGGGACAGCCGGTAAAGCTGGCGCAGTACTTGACCCGTTTCTACCTGGACCAGTTTCAGACCGGTTTTGACGCGCAGATGCTCGCCCAGTTGGTGCTTCTCAAGGTAAAGGTTTTTATTTTTTGGTTTTTAGAACAAAAACTCATTTCTTTTTTCTTCTTCTTCAGGACATCTCCTCACCTGATTGCTCTCAGGTGAACCGTCGCCTGCGAACCTCGTTGCTCAACCTTCTCACTTTTGACGACACCGTGGTAGCCGTCGTGGGCGCCCATTTTCGTCAGTTGAGCGGAGGCGGTGGTAGTGTGGAGCAACAGGTGCGAGCCCTAGCCTCGCTCATCGAGACCGCCTGTTTGCTGCGACAACTACGTAACTTCTACGGCCTCAAGGTGGTCATCGGCTCGTTGCAGTCGCTGCCCGTGTACCTGATGACGGAGGCGTGGCGGCTCCTAGCCTACCGAATGCCGGTGCACTACTGGTAAATACTGCTGATTTTTTAAAAGCTAAAAACATTTTCAAACTTTTTTATCTCTTTTTGCAGTGACTTTAAACGCCTGTGCTCGCTGAGCCGCCGTCTGGAGGGCGCCATTCTGGGCACCAACAAGCCGCACATTCCCACGCTGGCCAATCTGCTCAACCGCCTGCGCCTCTGCTGCACCGTCAGCTGGGACCTCTTTGAGGCTAGGCGTCGTTTTGTGGAGCACCCTTCCATTGCTGGTCAGTGCCTAGCTTACTAAATTGGTTTTCATTTTTAAAACTAACTTTTCAACATTTTGTGTTCAGGCTGGCTTCACACTGAAATCATCGGCGGTGTTAGCAGCAGCAGTAGCAGCAGTAACAGCTCTTTTTCATCAGCTCAGCAGCGTCGACGAAGCACCACCTCCACTTCAAAGGCATCCCAGGTGAAGTTCGCCGCCTATCCTGAGCCACCGCTGATTGCCCGCCTTTCCTACGACCCCATCAGCGAGTCCTACCTGACCACCTCTGATCCGATTCGCCTCATCAACTGGTCGGACTTTCCCCTTAACTGGCGTGGTCGCTACTTGCCGGCCATTCCGGAGCGCTACCTGCGCAACCTTTTGCAGACAAAGTCTTTCACCAGCATGGTCGAGTGCTTCTTCAGGACGCCCATCGATCGCTACCAAATGGACAGTGTATAGAAGGAAGGGGGGAGTATGATTTAGATTATGAGTTCACCTTTAGATTGGTGAAAACTTCGAAAAACAATAATGAAAACGCACACAAAAGTCAGTCCAGTGGTGCATCCAAGTCACGCACAGTCAGACAGTCAGCCAGTCAGTTGTTCAATGGTCTCAGATTTTGCAAACAAACAAAATAATTTGACGCCTGACACCTAAAATGAGGAAGCATCCCTTGCGACGACCCTTCTGGTTCTATATACTAATTAATTACAAGTATTACACTACTTTACTGCTCTAATGCTACAGCTCTACTCATTTGACTTTAATTATTATTACTTTAGCCCTTTTCCCAATTACTTAAACTGTACAACTTCCTGCAACATTATACAATTTTTCTCTAAACACTTTTTTAATCAGATGTTTGAAACTTTTTTGTACTTTCTAACTTACTAAAACAATTTTGTATTTTTTAAATGACAACACGCAACAAAACACTTTTTGTTTTTGGTTATTTTTGGTATTTAACAAAAATTAAAAATGTTTAAAAGTTCCATCGCGTCATTTGTTTGCGTCAACAATAGTTTCAAAATGGCTTCAAAGCTTTGCCGTTTCAATTTTGAAGAAGTACTTTATGTTTTAGTATTTCCAGTGCATGGGTTGCACCAATTCGAGTAAGTAGAGCTTTATTTTTTTAGCTGACAAACCTTACAGAACTCTTCTCTTAACACTAGAAAAGAACTTCAACGCTCGAAAGAGTCGGTGCCGTGCTGGAACAGCATCTTCCCTTGAGGATGATGGACCCTCACTTATGCCTCTCTACGGAAATGTCAGCGAGTCCTGCGGCATCTGCGCCTGCAGGTGCTGTCAGCTTGGCTGTAAAGCTGAGCTGTACAATCAACTGCTGAGTGGGCTGCCTGACAGAAATGCCACAGCTAGCACAACGCCTGAATGGACTGATGGATCAAACATTTCGATGGCTTCAGCTGGCGCCAGACAGCCAAGCGGTGTGATGTCCGCAGCTGTGCAGGACGTGCCTGGAAGTAAACGCAAGACACCGGAGTGGGGTATTCAAATGGGAGGCACACAACAAAACTTTTTTCATTCTCCCCTGCCACCAGGAAGTGAAGGAAGTGCTCCGTCAAAACCCTCACAGACTGGCACAAGTAAGCCTGCAGTCGTTTCTGGACCGAAACCGGGAGTTGGCAGTGGTGCTTTGCCAGCTTCTTCTCCCTTTTCACAACCGCAGTCATTGCCACCACCGCCACCACCTCCACCCCCTCCACCTCCTGCACCTTCCACGCAACAGCCAGACATCAAACCAATCGCAGCAAAGAAGCCGACCAACCCGTCTGCTGCTCAATCGAGTGGCTACATGGATGAGCTGAATGAAAGGCTGGCCAAACGAAAACAGGCATCCAATGCAACTGCCATTTTAGGAGAGGGGGGAAGTGGAGGAAGTGATGGAGGTGGTAGCTGTGGTGCAAAGCCAAACGCTGCACTGCCGGCTAAGCCAAGTTCACAAGCTGCTCAGAAGCCGCCGGTTCCACCAAAGCCAGCCTATCTTTCTTCTGGCCAACATCCATCGCCGGTGGTGACTGCACTTCCCCTCCATGGCTCGTCTATGCCTGCTGGTGGTGTTCCACCACCACCACCACCACCTTCCCAGCCCTCTTCGGCGCTTCCTTTGCCAGGCAAACCGGTGTCACTTCCCACACCAAGTGCTGCAGGCAAACCGACCACCACCACCACCCCCACTGCGCCTGGAACTATGCGAATCAGTCCGGCGGACCTACAGGCACAGGCTGCCAACCTGAAGCCTACATCAGCAAAAGATAAAGATGACAAGGATAGTAAGGCAGCTAAGAAGAGCGCCGCACCTGACATTCTGGTGGCAGCTGCCATTCAGGCGAGGCGTAGGCAAATGCGATGCTCAAGCAGTGACTCAAGCAGCAGTGACTCGGATTCGGATTCGGAAAAGTGGAAGTGAGGCAGTTGTGGTCAAGCATGTTTATGTTGTTGTTTGATCAATTTAATTTGGTTTCATTTAGCTTGTAGTTTGTGTACATTGTGCCCCATGTCATGCACACAGTCACAGGCACTGTAGTACAGTGGCTGTACTAAATAAAACAAATTTGTGACTGAGGCAATTTTATTTGCAATTTTTAACATAACTTTTTTTAAAAACATGTTTATTTTGCGAAAAAAATTGTGTTGATTGCAACACGTGAAACGCTAAATATAGTAATGTATGGTAAATAAGGAAAATATTTTACATGTTTTAAAAAATTAAAAATGTGTAAATCAGTTGCTGGCGATTTAGTAGTTTGAGGTATTGCCGATTTGTCTGAATCAACCTCACAATTTTTGTTTTCATTTTTAAAATTGCTTTTAAAGGTTTGTTTAAAATCGCCATTAATTTTTATATTTGAATTTTGACTAAAATTAAAATTTGAAAGCTTTGAATTGCTAAAATTGTTTGTCGTATTGTTGTTTGTTACTAGATTAAATACAAAAGTGAATTTGTTAAAATAAAGTTTTAGTTTTGAATACGTTAATAGTTTTTGAGTTTTTTTCAATGTTAGATTTTTAGTGCTATAAAAATTAAAAAAAAGTTTATTATTTTTACTAAATTAAAATACCAACTTTTACATTTGATTTTTTTCAATGCTTTTGAAACTGAATGAGGATGAAGGTAAAAGCAAAAAGTTCTTAATAAATATATTAAATTCTTCTCGCTCAATTGTTTTGGAAAATTTAATAGATGTTTTTTTAACAAGTGGTGTTTTATCATGTTGAATTTGTTGTAGCTCTTTCCAGTTTGACGATTGTGTAAAATAAAGTATTGGTAGTGGTTTTGAAAAAGATTTTGAAAATTGTTGTTTTAACAAGTTATTAACTTTCAACAAATTTCTTACAAAATTCATAATTTATTAAAATTGTGAAAATTGTTACAGTGCAAATGCAAAAGCATTAAATACATGAGCGTTGTTAAAATAAATATCGACAATACAATGTGCGTTTTAGTAAAAAGGTCAAACCGCCGGTTTTTCATGAAGCTTTTTTTGGCGGAAAACAGTCTGATTATAATAAGTGATATGATACTACCATGCTACAAAAAATTGATAAAAGTAGTAACTAAAGAAGTGTGAGATATTAGTTGTTTTTACAAATGTAGTTTATATCAAGAAAAATTGCATGATAACATATTTTAGCCAACATAACGTCGACAGAAAAGCCAATAATGGTAAAAAGGCGTGACGCTAGCACAAGAGGAGGGAAATCAGACCATCACTGTCTATGCCTTTTTACCCACAAATTTTCAAAACAGTTGTGTTACTTGCAATCGATGTTTGCGCTTGGGGGCAAAAGGGCATTTGCAACTACTAAGTTGTTTTTAAAAAAGGTGATGACGTTTTGACGGAAAAAATGAAACACAAAACTAAAATAAAAATAAAAAACTAATTTATTTTATACTAAACAAGTGAAGCAAAATGTTCANTGCTTCTATAAATTACATCGTTCAAGATATCGAGAAACGGTTTTCACACTATAAACAAANATAAAAAACTAATTTATTTTATACTAAACAAGTGAAGCAAAATGTTCAAAGTGTTTTGAATAATATTTTAAAAAGTTCTTCAAAAAATCTTGTTAAAATGTGATAAAAGTGTTAGGCCGCGTAGGCAGTGGCCGATCAATTCAGAGCAGCTCCTCATTGACGCTGAGATAATTTGCTGGATCGGGCGGCACGTTGTTGTCCTCTTCTCCCTCAACTTTGTCAACATTGTCAGGTTTCTTCTTGAGATGCACATTGAGAATGTGCTTGATAGCGTGTGCACGCTGACGAAACTCTAGAGAGCAGCCTGGAAAGGTGCAGCCAAATGGTTTGGCATTGCTGTGCGTTCGAAGGTGACGTTTCCGATCGGCGTTACTTAAGAAATGCTTGCCACAATTGGGCTCAGTACAGGGAAACTTTCCAGACTGAGTCGGTTGACGTCGATGGTTTTTGGAAGCTTTTGAAACATTGTTGATGGGGTTGGCACTGATGTTTTTCAGTTCAACATCACCGCCACCAGCACTTTCATCGAAAGCCACGTCAGCATAGTCATCATCAAGTGGACCATCAATCTGCAGTTCCATAGTGACCGCTTTCTTCTTGTTTAGATGACTGTTGCTGCTGCTGCTGATGCCAACGCCATCTTCTTCAGCCATTCGTTTATAGAGACCAGAAAACGGTTGGGGAGCAGCTGAAGTAGAGGGACCAGGCTTGGACTTGGTTGCAAAGATCATCTTGCTTGTTGGTGGCTGAGAGGGCATTACAGTTTGAGTTTTTATCGGTGACTTGGTGGTCAATGTTTTGACTGGAGTAGCAGTAGTGGTTCCAAAACCAGAAGTTTTTCCCTGATCATTGCCAGCACTTTCTTTGGACGGCGGCGGCATCATCATCTCTTTGACTTGTCCGACCATTTCCTCAAAGAGTCCATCAACGATGACTTTTACCGATTCCATCAATCGCTCCTTCACCAGCGCCTTCTTTCCTTCAAAAAACGAGTCCACAAACGAGTGAAACATCGAAGGATTGTTCAGTGCCAAATGGCTGCTAAGGGAAAGCATGGTGACGAAGTGAGTGGTAAACGATAACCAGGTTAAAAAGAAATGATTGTAACAAAAGCAAAAAGATGTGCTTTTTGAAATATTTTATACAGTTTTTATAAATTCGAAATGTTGCAATACAAAATCAAAATGTGTGAAAAATGAAAAAATCGACTAAAAGTTGCATTTGCTGAGTACTCAAAAACGAAGTAAAGTTTCAAAGAAGTTCCTCTTTGATGCTGAGATAGGTTGCTGGATCGGGTGGCTCATTGAGGTCCTCTTCTCCTTCTTTATCAGGTTCTCCAGGCTTTTTCTTCAGATGCACGTTGAGAATGTGGCGAATTGCATTTCCGCGAAGAGCAAACTCCAGAGAGCAGCCAGGAAAGGTGCATCCGAATGGTTTGGCATTGTTGTGCGTTCGAAGGTGTCGTTTGAGATCAGCATTACCTCTGAAGGTTTTAGTGCAGTTAGGTTCAGTACAGGGAAACTTTCCAGATTGAGTCGGTTGATGCGGTTGCTCATTGGAAGCGTTTGAAGCATTGTTGATGGGGGTGGCACTGATGTTAGCCAGTTCAGTGTCACCGCCACCAGCACCTTCATCGAGAGCCACGTCACCATAGTCATACTCGTCATCAAGTGAATCATCGATCTGAAGCTCTACAGTGACCGCTTTTTTCTTGTTTGGCTGACTGTTGTTGCCACCATCACTCTCGGCCATTCGTTTATAAAAACCAGAAAACGGTTGTGAAGCATTTGAAGAAGAGGGACCGGGCAGGTTGGACTTGGTTGCAAAGATCATTTTGTTTTTCTGCTTTTCAATGACAGGCAGGTTGCTTGTTGTAGCTTTGGCTGGAGTAGCAAAAGTGGTGGTCTCAAAACCAAAAGGTTTCACTTGATCATTACTTGCACCTTCTTTTGGAGGCAGCAGCATTTCCTTGACCTGATCGACCATTTCTTCAAACAGTCCATCAACAATGGTTTCCATTGATTGACGCAATCGATCTTTTACCAGAGCCTTCTTGCCCAGAAAAAACGAATCCACAAAAGAATGCAACATTGAGGAGTTGTGTAATGCTAGGTGACTGCCCAAGGAAAACATGGTGACAAAGTAAAAATAAGCTGTTGACAAAAAGGAAAAGGGAAGAAGAAATGACTCTAACAAAGTAAAAAGATGTGTTTTGCAATGTTTTATGCAGACAGTAAAAAAGTTCGAAATGTTACAATGTGTGAAAAGGTTAAAATGATGAGTAATCAAAAAACTAACCGGCCGATCACGTGGTAACTAAATCATCTTCCTAAATATTGATGCCAAAAAAAAGTACTCTCTCTAGGGAACTAGCAGAGACTCATTGTAAACCTCCCTAGATGACAGACTGAGAAAACGTCAAACATTTCTGCTATCCCTTGGGGAAAGTAATTCAGAGGAATGTTTCAAATAGACTCCTCTTTGACGCTAAGATAAGTTGTTGGATCGGGAGGATGGTTGTTATCTCCATTTCCCTCCCCATCATCTCCCGGGTTTTGCAGGTGCACATTGAGAATGTGGCGAATAGCGTGCTCACGATGTCCAAACTCTGAAGTGCATCCATTGTAGGTGCAGCCAAATGGTTTTTGGGTGTTGTTGTGCGTTCGAAGGTGTCGTCTGAGGTTAGAGTTAATCGTGAAGTGCTTGCCACAACCGGGCTCAGTACACTGAAACTTTCCAGCTTGAGTTGAATTTCGCTGCTGCTGTTCCAGTTCTTTTGAAGCATTTTGAGCGTTTTCGTTTCCGTCAGCAGTGTTAATGACCAGCTCAGTGTCACCGGCACCAGCACCACCATTGATGTCCAAGTCACTAAAATTATCCTCGTCATCAAGTGGACCATCAATCTCCAGTTCTACAGTGATCGCTTTCTTCTTGTTTGGCTGACTGTTGCTGCTGCTGATGCTAACTTCATCCTCTTCAGCCATTAGTTTATAAAGACCTGAAAACGGTTGGGAAGGAGGAACTGAAAAAGAAGAGGGACCAGGTTTTGATTTGGTTGCAAATGTCATTTTGTTTTTCAGTGGCGGGGAAGGTGGCACACTGGTCGTTGGTTTTGCTGGAGTGTTGCTGCCATATGTTTTTATCTGATCATTGACACCAGCACTTTTTGAAGGCAACAGCATCTCCTTGACCTGTCCGACCATCTTCACAAAGAGTCCATCGACAACGACTTTTACCGATTCCATCAGTCGCTCTTTGACCAGGGCCTTCTTTCCCTCGAAGAAACCGTCAACCAGAGAGTGCAACACTGCAGGGTTGATCAGAGCTAGCTGGCTTCCAATGGAGAGCATGGTGATGAGAAGTGATTGCAAATGTAAACGAGATTTCAGGTGATGACAAGACCTATAAAAAAGACAAATAAAATTAAAAAACATTTAGCTTAATAGGCAATTTTGATAACAAAGTTCTAATTTCGGAATGATGATCATCTTTTTAGAATCTTTTGCTAAAATGGTGTGCACGTCATCGTTTCCCTTTTTCACTCATCTTTCGGGTTATGCGATTGACTTTCCATTCGCTTTTTGACTTGTGAAACTTCACTTCTTTCTTTTCTGCTACCACTGTAACCATGTTTTCAGCATTTAGCAGTCACTTGCCACTGAACAGCAACTCCTCATTGATGCACTCTTTTGTGGACTCATTTTTCCTGGGCAAGAAAGCGCTTGTCAAAGAGCGACTGCGTCAGTCAATGGAGACCGTCGTCGATGGGCTGTTTGAGGAGATGGTCGAGCAGGTCAAGGAAATGCTGTTGCCGCCAAAAGAAGGTGTAAGTAGTGATCAAGTGAAACCTTCTGGCTATGAGACTACCAGCAAAGCTACTCCAGCCAAAGCTACATCGAGCAGTTTTCCAGTGGCTGAAATGCCGAAAAACAAACTGATTTTCGCTACCAAGTCAAAACATGGTCCCTCTTCTTCAGCTGCTTCTCAACCGTTTTCAGGTCTTTATAAACGAATGGCAGAAGATGATGGAGTCAACAACAACCAGCCAAACAAGAAGAAAGCGATCACTGTAGAGTTGCAGATTGATGGTCCACTCGATGACGAGAATGACTATGGTGACTTGGACAACGATGACGTTGCTGGTGGTGGTGACATTGAACAACTGGATAAGGACACTGCTCAGAAAAACACTGCCATTGCCAGCGATCCAAAGCCGCAGCCAAAACAGACAGCTGAAAAGAAAGTCGCCTGTCCTGAGCCCGGATGCGGAAAGCTTCTTGCCAGTCGCAATCTCAAGCGACACCTGCGAACGCACAGCAATGCCAAACCATTTGGCTGCAACTATTCTGGTTGCTCGTTGGAGTTCAGTCAACGCGAACACGCTATTCGACACATTCTCAATGTGCATCTTAAGAAGCCGAAACCTAACGATGCTGAAGATGATGGAAATGAGGAAGCAGACGAACCCGATCCAGCGACCTATCTCACCGTAAAAGAAGAGCTGCTCTAAAATTGGTTAGTCATTCAGCTAACGTGGCCAATTAAACACAATCTTTTTAATTTAGAACTTTAACCAGATTTAACAGCTCAACATTACACATTTTTCATTTTGTCTGTTACTGTCACCGCATCAAATACACATTTTTGTTTCACTTGTTTTGGCATTTTTGTGTCTTTACCCATTTTTTTCCACTTTTTCACCATGCTTTCCCTTAGCAGCCATTTGGCAATGAACAATCCTTCAATGTTTCACTCGTTTGTGGACTCGTTTTTTGAAGGAAAAAAAGCGCTAGTGAAGGAGCGATTGATGGATTCGGTGAGAGTCATTGTCGATGGACTCTTCGAGGAGATGGTTGGACAGGTCAAAGAGATGATGATGCCGCCGCCGCCCAAAGAACGTGCTGAAAATGATCAATTGAAAGCANAAAAAAGCGCTAGTGAAGGAGCGATTGATGGATTCGGTGAGAGTCATTGTCGATGGACTCTTCGAGGAGATGGTTGGACAGGTCAAAGAGATGATGATGCCGCCGCCGCCCAAAGAACGTGCTGAAAATGATCAATTGAAAGCAAATGCCGCCAGCACTACTACTTCACCAAAACCAACGACCAGTGTGCCACTTTCCCAGCCACTGAAAAGCAAAATGGTTTTTGCAACCAAGTCCAAACCCGGTCCTTCTTCTTCAGCTGCTTCCCAACCGTTTTCAGGTCTCTATAAACGAATGGCCGAAGAGGATGGAGGCAACAATAGCCAGACAAACAAAAAGAAAGCGGTCACTGTAGATCTGCAGATCGATGATTCACTTGATGACGAGGATGACTATGGTGACTCGACCTTAGATGACGATTCTGGTGGTGGTAACATTGAACAGCAGTCTAAGGACACTGCTCACGAAAACATTGCCAACGATCTAAAGTCGCAACCAAAACAGTCAGCTGAAAAGAAGGTCGCCTGTCCTGAGCCCGAATGCGGTAAGCTTTTCGCCAATCGCAATCTCAAGCGACACATGCGAACGCACACCAAAGCTAAGCCGTTTGGCTGCACTTATTTTGGCTGCTCTCTGGAGTTCAGTCAACGCGAACACGCCATCTACCACATTCTCAATGTGCATCTCAAGAAGCAGAAACCTGAAGTAGATGGAAATGAGGATTCAAACGAGCCACCCGATCCAGCGACTTATCTCACCGTAAAAGAAGAGCTGCTCTAAATTTGGTGGTTACCCACTGTGACAACTTATCACAGTCATTGCATTTTAATTTAGAACTTTACCAGGATTATTTAACAGCTCACACTCTAAATATTACTAAACATTACACATTTTTTAATTTTACTGTCACTGCATCAAATAAACATTTTCATTTTACTTTTTTCAGCTTTTTTTGCATTCTCACTCAGTTTTTCTCCACTCTTTCACCATGTTTTCTTTTGGCAGCCATCTGTCCTTGAACAACTCCTCCGTGATGCACTCATTCGTGGACTCATTTTTTGAAGCAAAAAAGGCGCTGGTAAAGGAGCGACTGATGGACTCGGTGAGGGTCGTAGTCGATGGACTCTTTGAGGAGATGGTTGGGCAGGTCAAGGAAATGTTGTTGCCTCCAAAAAAGGTTGTCAATGATCAAGCAAATGCCGCCAGCCCCACAACTTCAGCAAAACCATCGACCAGTTTTTCACCAATGAAATCAGTGCCACTTTCTCAGCCACCGAAAAACAAACGGATTTTCGCTACCAAGTCAAAGCCTGGTCCTTCCTCTTCAGCTGCTTCCCAACCGTTTTCAGGTCTTTATAAACGAATGGCTGAAGGAGATGGAGTTAGCATCAGCAGCAGCAACAAGAAGAAAGCGATCACTGTGGAGCTGCAGATTGATGGTCCACTTGATGACGAGGATGACTATGGTGACGTGGCCATCGATGACATTGAACAGCTGGATAAGAACACTGCTCACAAAAACATTGCCAATGATTTGAAGCAGCAGCAACCAAAACAGACAGCTGAAAAGAAAGTCGCCTGTCCTGAGCCCGGATGCGGTAAACTTCTCACCAGTGGAAATCTCAAGCGTCACATGCGAACGCACAACAATACCAAACCATTTGGCTGCAACTATTCTGGCTGTTCGTTAGAGTTTAATCAGCGCGAAAACGCCATCCGACACATTGTCAATGTGCATCTTAAGAAGAAACCTAACAATGCTGAAGAGGGTGGAAATGAGGTAGCAGATGATCCACCCGATCCATCGACCTATCTCACCGTGAAAGAGGAGTTGCTTTAAAATTGGTAACCCACTGTGCCATTTGAAAACAGTCATTTCATTTTAATTTCGAACTTTAACCAGATTTAACAACTCAACACAATTTTTATTTTTATTGTCACTGCACTGAGTAAACATCTTGATTTCACTTGTTTCAGCATTTTTTGTGTCTTTACTCATTCNTCACCGTGAAAGAGGAGTTGCTTTAAAATTGGTAACCCACTGTGCCATTTAAAAACAGTCATTTCATTTTAATTTCGAACTTTAACCTGATTTAACAACTCAACACAATTTTTATTTTTACTGTCACTGCACTGAGTAAACATCTTGATTTCACTTGTTTCAGCTTTTTTTGTATCTTTACTCATTCCTTCTCCACTCTTTCACCATGTTTTCTTTTGGCAGCCATCTGTCGTTGAACAACTCCTCAGTGATGCACTCATTCGTGGACTCATTTTTTGAGGCAAAAAAGGCGCTGGTTAAAGAGCGACTGATGGACTCGGTGAGGGTCGTCGTAGATGGACTTTTTGAGGAGATGGTTGGGCAGGTCAAGGAGATGATGTTGCTGCCACCACCGCCATCACCCAAAGAAGAATGCGCTGGTTTGCAGCAACTTCCGAAACCATTTCCTGCTCAGTTCGCTCAGCAGCATCAGCAATCCAAACCACCACCGCTTAAAAGCAACTTGATTTTCGCTACCAAGTCTAAGCCTGCTCCACCACTACCTTCTTCATCATCTTCCTTTGTGGTTCCAGGCCAGAAACGAACTGCTCTCGAGGAAGAAAACCTTGCAGCTTTGTCTACCTTGAACAACTCGCCAACCAAGAAGCTGAAGGTCAGCTTTCCCGATGAACAGTTGTTTACTCAGGAGAAAAATGATGAAGAAGTTGGCGGTGATGGTGAAAGTGAAGGCGACTACTACCAAAACCTTGACAACGCTGATGACATTTCTGATGCCCATGGCCACTTAAAATCCCCAACTTCCACCTCTTACGGAAACATTGTGGTAGAGTTTGGTGATGGCACCACCCCCACCACTTCTGCTGCCCCAACCAACAACAAAAAACGAGCCACTTTGAGTGGAACAGCAAGTTCGGTCAAAAAGTTCGCCTGCACAGAGGTGGGCTGCGACAAGAGCTACTCAACTCCGCGCGATCTGAAGGTGCACACTCGTTGTGCCCACTCTGGTGTGAAACCGTTTTCCTGCGCCTTCACTGGCTGTCCTGGTTTCGCCTCTGCCGATCGTTCCAACACTCTTCGCCACATTCGAAATGTTCACCTAAAAAATGGTGGTGGTAAAGGGGCTACCGCGGCAGGAGAGCTTTCTGATGGAAGTGGAGGGGGCAAAGACGACGACCCCGCCAAGTACCTTACCGTCCAGACGGAGTTGCTTTGAAATATTTTACACACACGAGCACTTTTTACTAAATTTTCTTCTTGCTTTTCAAGCAACACAAACTCAACTTTTTCACAACTTTTTCACATTATACAATAGCTGCGCCAGTAGATTGTATAAAATAAAAATAATAATTATACTCAAACTTTATTTGGCAAAAGAGGATTATTTAGACAGCACCTCAATGATGATCTAGTAGATGGCCGACTTGCCCAGCAGCGGCAGTCCACCGTACAGACCGTGGCCGAGGCCGAGGCCGAGACCGAGGGGAGCCTTCAGGGCGAGAGGGGCGTGGCCGATGGCAATGGCCGGTGCGGGGTAGGCGGCCTGCGAGGCGTACGGGTAGCCCGGGGCGTAGGGCGTCTGCAGCAGCTGCGAGCTGGCGAGGGCCACATTGGCGAGTGGGGCGTGGGCGATCAGAGGGGCGTGGGCCACCTTCAGGGCAATGGGCGCAGGGATGGCGGTGGCGATGTGCGTCGAAATGAGGGGTGCTGGGCCCCAGGCGGGAATGGCCACAGCCACGGAGAGGAGGGCAGAGAGGACGATCTAAAGAAAAGGAGTTTAAAATTTTGGGCAATTGAAAAACCTTTTCTAGTTCTTACGAGAGCGTTCATTTTGAGTGGGTTTTGTGGTGCTGGTGAGTTTTGAGGATGATGAAAAGTTTTGTTGGCTGTGATGCTTCGCCAACTGAACTGCCACTGCTATTTATATGATTTTCCATTCGTTGATTTTCGTTGATTTGACACTGAAGTGCTTTCGAAGTGCACTGTTACCACATTGTCTACTGTTGCATCTTACTTTCTCATTCTTTCTCTTTCTCTTTTTTCTCAAAGCACACGATTACGCGAGACTGACTTTCTCTTTTTTTCTTCTTTCTTCCTGCACTTTCCACCACCTTTCAACTTGGGCGACCTTCACTGCAACTGTCACGGAACAGAGTTGCAACTCTATTTGAGGCTCTTTCTACTTTTCCCTTCAATCATCATCATCATCATCATCTCATCACTTGGCAGTAGAGGACAAAGCTTCTCACAGCTGCTCAGCAAAGTGAAAGGTCACTAATTATCGCACTCAACATTATTAAACAACGACAGCAACACAAAACTGCATTTAGCAGCACAAGACAAAGCAGTGCAAAAAAGATCTGAAGCTGAAATAAATGAATTTATTTACTTCGCATCGGTTGAGTGGTGATTATAATTTACAGCACACTAAACTATGAGTCCTCCAAAAACGAAACAGAAGAAGAAGAAGGTGGTGGTTGCTAGAGGTAGGGTAGCTGACTTTGGTCTGCTTCTTAATAGAGACCCTTGCCGTAGCCCAGACCATAACCGCCATAGCCGCCCAGAGCGAGGCCGGAGCCGTATCCGAGACCGCCATAGCCGCCGATCAGACCTTTTCCGCCGTAGCCGAGGCCGTACGAGGCGACGGGGGCGGCGATGACAGCTGGGGCAGCCACGGCGTAGGACTTGGCGTAGACGGGGGCGGCGATGGCCACCGGGGCGGGGATGGCGGTCGAGTAGCCGTAGCTGGAGACCAGGGCGGGGGCGGCGTAGCCATAACCGCCATATGCGGGCACGGCCGCGGCGACGGACAGGAGGGCAGCGAAGACGATCTGCGGGAGTGGAAATAGCACAAAATTGTTGATCACCACTGAAAGTAGATTTAAGAAAGTCGACTTACGAAGGAGTTCATGGTGATTGGTTGTTTGGTGGGGTGGTGGTGGTGGTGGTTTGAAATGGTTTGTAAGTTGCTGAGGGGAAGCGTTGGATGACTTTCACCTGATCAACGAGTTGGCTTTATATACCATCTGGAGTTTCAGTGGTTTCAGTTTCAACTGCAGCTGAGACAGTTTCTCTTTTTCTTTTTGCAACTCTTCTTTTGCTTTTTTGCTCTCTCACTCTTCTACTCCTTTCTCACTTTTCACTTGTTCACTGCATCAGTGTTTAACTCGTTCCATTCCAAGGAGATCAGAGGTGGTGGTTGTGGTGGCGGTGATAGTGATGGTCACCACAGAAGGTGACCAATCCTTTGAATGACTGGACTGCAGATTGCAGACTGTGCAAATCTTTTTTTGCTTCTCTTCCTCCTCCTCCTGACTTGCTAATTGAAGAACAATGCGCCCAGTAATTAGAATGCTATTCTCTTTTTTTACTATTTGACTTTGTGTTCAGCAGCAGCTGCTGCTTTGCATTTAACAGTGTTTTTGTAAAATTTTTAGTAAAAACCTTGAATAGCGCTCTTTTGGTACAGATGACCAAAAGGAAAAAAGAAGAATGTCACCAAAAAGCTATTCAAGGAACTAAAAGCTTTTTTAGTTGGCTACCATTACCATCACCACTTTCTACTAAATGTTTAGCCTAGTGTGAAGGTGAACGTTATCCTTTCCCTTTAAGCACAGCCAATCATCATCGTCTCACTTTCTTCTTCTGTGTCCCTCAGGTAAAGGCTGAGTAAATTAGAGTAGACTTTCTTTATGAGGTAAGCGAGTGGGGCAGTACATTTAAGGCAAGTGCTAAAGTAAAATAGTGAGTAAGATGTAATAGTGACCACTTGTTGCACGAACAGTGGTCGTGGTGGTGGTAATGGCAGTAATGGTCACTTTGTGATGCAACTTTCGATACACTTTTGTCTACGGCTGCTGCAAACAGCGGAGGCATATTATTAGCCGATGAGGTCATTTGAGCTGAGAAAAAACAAAACAGGACAGAACTAAAAGGGGAAAGGGAAAAGTGTTGACGTCTTTGCTGGCGTGATTGATGGGCAGTTTGTGCAACAGAATGTGATGTGCAAAAGGGAAAAAGGTGTCAAATTAAGCTTTATTTATTGAATGGTAGTAGTGCGCTTTGACAAATCCTTCTTTTGCCATAAAAGCTTACAGTTCCGTTGTGCGTGTGTTCTCCTCCGACAGACGATTGACTTAAAAGAATGAGAAATTGGAGAGAAACTGCGACGTTGCAGATGAAGATGAAGGGTTAAACTGATGAGTATTTGTAGGAAGGGTGGCAGTGAAGGAGTTTCAATGTGGCAGGCAAAGAAGTATCAAACCTCATTGGTGTTTTAACCGTAGAATCCTTTACCATAGAGACCGCCGTAGTAGCCCAGTCCTCCCAGGCCGTACGCTTTTCGGTAGCCACCGAGGCCGCCGTACAGGCCACCACCATACAAACCACCGCCGTACAGACCCTTTCCGTACAGGCCACCGCCGTAGTAACCACCTCCCAGGCCATAACCGTATCCATAACCGCCATAGGCGACCGGCGCCACGGCGTACGACTTGACGACCACCGGGGCTGCGTAGCTCTTGTAGACAATTGGCGCCTTGTAGACGACGGGCAGAGCGTAGGGCACTGCAACGGCGGCTGCCACCAGGACAAAGAGGATCTAAAAAGTGAACAAGTTTGTTTAGATATTTTTGAAAATAAGTCGTTTGAATGTTTACTCACCAAAAGCTTCATCGTTGGGTTAGTTGCTTAGTTTTGCTGCTGCTGTACACTGTGATGGCGATACCACCGAAGCGTCCGTTCTTTTATACCTCTCTCGCTCTCTCTCTCTCTCTCGCTCTCTTTCTCCTGATCAATACCTCTTTCACTTTCAGGTAGAAGAATCAAAACTGTAGAAGAAAGGTGAGCTTCTTTCTTTTTCTTCTTCTTTCTTTCTTCTTTCTACTGCCGTTCAACAGTAGCTAATGACACTAAAACTGTCAGACAACTTCGTCGTTGTCAGCAGCTGCAGCACAAGCCGATAATAATGGCAAATAGTTTGTCGATGGTAGTAGTGAATGTGAATGATTATGAGCGGTTGTTGTTATTGCCGTTGAAGGTTGAAGTGAGGTGAGGTTGGTGAAGTGGTGTCTCCCCAAAACCATCACACTTCCCTTCAGCAGGAGTACTGAGAACACGATGAGAAACGCCGGTGATTAGCGCTGCTTTGTGTGTTCCTGTACGTAGTTATTGACTACTTATTTTTGTACAATCCTCCTCAACAGGAATGGTACTCCTTCTTGTTGCCCTGAAGAAGGCTAATTTCACTGCCCACCAATAACTGACCACTGTACAACAAGCGATGTGAATAGGACAATTAAGGGACTGTCGTTTCTAGAGGGCTCATTTTTAGTTTTTGACAACGGCTGTACAAAGAGAGCGTACATTTACATATTTTGTTTTGCTTTGTTTTTCCTTCTATTCTTCTTTCCAAAAAACGACCGATCAGTTGCAACTGCGTCCAATTTGCATTTACTTAAGTGAATCGAAGTTCAGCTTTCAAATCTCAAAGAGGTTCGACGTTTCAAGGGCAGTACTGGAGGAAGTAAAGAAAGTGATCCAGGAAGGAAAAGAAGATGAAAAGAAAAACTCATGCTTCTGTTTTGTTCTTGTTGAATAAATTAGCAGCATCAGTTTTTTTAAATTTTGTTACAGCATCTACGCAAAGTGTTACGCTGAAAAATGAGAAATTAAGTCAAAAAAGTACCATTCCAAAAAGTGCATTTGCTTTTTTTGCCGTTTTTAGAAGCCATCAGGATATCTAAAACCAACATCAACCGCAAATAGCAAAAGAAATCACAGCTACACAGTCTCACGTGAGCTTCAAGCACACAAAGTCTTTTCTTCTTTTTCTCATCTTTAGCTTACACATTTGAACTTGAAATGAGATAGAACAAGCAAAACTCACTGACTGACTGAGCTAGCCGCTGTCCACTGTGTGTGTGTATTTGAAGCAGTGAGGCCACTGCTCTTCTATCTTGCTACTGCTGCTGCTTATTATCCCTGCATCCCCGATGCTTCATCCTTCCTCATTGCCTCTCTTCTACTCACTTTTTTCTTTTCCTTTTCCACCACCACCGTCGATGACCTTTTCCATCGTCGCAGACAGTTTGGCGGCCTCAGCCGCATCAATTACTAACTGACTGACTTGCTGGCTGGCTGGCTGGCTGACACCAGAAGCCGCTAATAGCTGCTGCTGCTGTTTGGTTATTTTTAGTGTCAGCTAAAAGAGGAAAAGAAGAAGAAGATGATGGTGATGGGAAAATGAGAAGAAGATGAATGAAAAAGCAATCCTGCCTCTGACAATTATCAATTGGCAATGGGTAGTGATTGTTGAGTTGATTGTTTACTTTTGCATTTAAACTTTTTTGAATAGTTTTTAAAATTCAAAGCAAAAATCATCATATTTGCTGTTGTCCTAAAAGAGGTTAAAGCAACAAGGCAAGTTTCACAGATAATTCTGTGGATACTTTTAAATCTAAGCGCAATCAGCACTTAAAAATGACAGTTACGAGCACAATGACCCTTTACTTAGGTGTCACTTGTCGTGACTTTCACTTTTCATTTTTTTATTGTATCATCAACTTCTTTTTACTTTCACTATGCAATCATCTCCCTTTCTCATAAAACTCTTTAATTAGCATCTTCCTCCCTTCTTAAATTAGCCCATCTTTCATCTCTGTCTGCTCATTGCACAATGATCAATCGAAAAGAGCAATCGTTTGAGGGCCGGTGCAGCAGCAGCAGCACGACTGATCGATCGATTGGACGATGGACACGATGCACCAGTGTTCAAGGGCAATGGAAACAACAACCAAACAGTGCTCCATACTTTGACTTGTCAAATGGCAATTTTCAATGGCTGCCTTTATTTGGATCAGCAGCTGTATCAGCGGGGAGAAAAAATGAGTCAATTCAATATTTCCATACAAAAAGTGCGTAGTGGTCACGATATAATTTCCCTATCTGCTTCTACCAAACTTGCTATTTTTAACTGTGCCTGTAAGGAGCTTACAAGGGAGAAGAACAGCTTACCTTTTATTTGACCTTACAGCATAAAATTGTAAAAAGCAGCAAAATTTCACTCATTATCACGTAATCAAGTAAGATCATCTCATCTCTTCTCGATCTTTCCCTCTTTCCGGTCGAGGCTGACTTTTTATGGCGCCGTTCTCTCTCTCTAATTATCACCACCACCACCACCACTTGATTACAAAGAGCACTTGAGTACAACTGCTTCAGGTAAGTGTATGTGTGTGAGAGAGGACGAGCCAACCAGAGTTGTTGTTTACTCCAGATTGACTCACTACGTCGGGTTGTAGTAGTAGAATGGCATCAACAAAAAACAACGGTTCAAAACCATGATAAAAAAAATAAAAAATAACGGTGCAATCGGCGAGGGCGAGGCAGCGGTGAATATTCTTCTCTTTTACTCTTCTCGAAGAATCGCAAGTGTATTTACGGCGTCCCTTCTTTTTCCTCCTTCAGTCAGGCAGTCAGTCTCTTCTATCGTTCTCGTCGGTTCATTACCAAAGTTGCTGGTGTTGTTGAACCTATTCTTAGCAGATGCTCTCGCACTTGCTCGTACGGTTCAGCTTCCCAGCCAACCAAAGTACTCTCTTTATTGTTTACGTAGCTCTGCAGCAGTGTCAGTTTTTTGTTTGTTGCCCCGCACCACCAGAAATAACCACCACCACCACCACCACCACCACCACCAGAGAACCGTACGGCAGCCTCCGCATCACCGTCACCACCGTCACCCCCAGCACACCGCCGCCGCTGTCGTACATCGTTAGCCAAACATCATGAGCGATGAACGTGCTTGACTCTTATGGCTTCTTCTTCAGACCACTACCACTGATGGCTGAAATCATCTCCGTCTTTAGAATATGTAAAGTGTAGCGGGATCTTCTTTCTCCTCATCCTCCTCTTCCTCTCTCTCTCTTTCTCGCTTTCAGCCCTGCAATCGGTGCAATAGCTCAGTTCTCTTCTGCTTCTTCCAGGACGGGTTTCTCTTTCTTCTCTCCGCCGGGCTCACTCGCATTCATTCACTTGCTTAGTAACCGCACGCTCGCTCGACGAAGCACTTCTATTCTCCATTCTCTTCTTCCATTGTGTTCATTCACCAGACAGAGAATCCCTGCTCAAACCACCGGACTCAAATCAACTCTTCAAATCTCTCGCTCTCAGACTGCTCAACGCGGAAGTGAACACTGTAGTGTTTATATCACCTCTTTTTACTTCTCATCAAAGTTCCAGAAACCTCCAGAACAGAACCAAAACAGCAGCAGCAGCAGCAGAAAAATGGCAGACAAGCGCCTTCCCGGCCTGTACGGCAACACCGATCTCGGCTCTCGAATCAACATGTTCACAGAGAAGGCGGAGGTTTGTTGTGCTTTTTTCTGGAACACTGTTTTTCCAACCGTAATGTCATTTTGTCTAAATACCCGTTTATTACCATCTTTTTTTGTAGAAGCACTACGAGAAGCAAAAGCTGAATCCCTTCTCCGGCAACTTTGACGCCGTCGAGGCGGCCAAGCAGAAGCTGAGCAAGGACGACCCAAAGTAAGAGACAGCGGCTCTAGTATTTTGCTCTTGATTCATTTCTAAAAACTCTTTTTTCCATTTCTAACCAGCTACGGCAAACCAGTGGAGGGCAGCAAGACGGATAATCGCGGCAAGGCGGCCGCCCAGCTGCTGCAGAATGAGATCAAGATGCTGGTGGAGATCATGCTGAAGTACGGCACCGCCGCCGAGCAGGACGGCAAGCCGGTGGTGCAGATGTCCTTCAAGGAGCTCTTTGAGCTGTACAAGGTCATCTCCAACAAGGTCGTCGGCCTGCTGATTCGCGCCCGCAAGTACAAGCTGGTGGCCTTCGAGGGGGAGATGCTGTACCAGGGACGGGACGATGCAGTGGTCATCACCCTCCTCGATCCGAACATCAAGGTGGAGGAGATCGCATTTGAGTAGAAAGAGATGATAATCCAGTGTGGGACACTGAACGGTCTTTAAATATGGTAATGGTGAACAACTCTCAAAGTGATTGAAAAACAATCATCTGACACACTATCTTCTCACCACTTTCCTCCTCTTCTAAGTCATCAACAAAGTTTTTTTTTCTATTTTTCAACAATTTTCTCTTTTTTTCTGTACCATCAGAACCGTTTTGATTTTTTTTGTTTCAAATCACCTGTTCTCTCTTTTTTGTGGCAATAAAAAAGTGCTACGCACAAAAAAAATTTTGGATTTATATTCAGAAATTGGCTCCTTTAGTTGCAAAGAATGACAAAAAAAATCAGTAACAAGTACAGTAGGTAAATGGAGGGGAATGGAACATGCATGTCAAACGAAAGAAAGAAAGATAAGAAAACCATACTTACCGAAACAGGTTGGGATGAGAGACAGTGTGCATAAAAAGAGAAGGAATGGTGCATGGAAGGAAGAGAGAGCTAAAAACAGTAATAAAAATAAAGAATGGATGACAGTAGAAATATGGTGGTGGTAGTGGTGGTGGTGGGGGCATGCTCTCGATGAGAAGGTGCTACTTCATAGCAGAGACTAATCCCAGAGAGACTAGTAGCGAGAGGTCATCTTCTGTCTTTCACCTTTTGATGAGGAGCTGGAAGAGGATGAGGATGAATGAGAAGAAGTGGAGGTGTAGGTGGTGGCAGGGTAGTAGCTCTTCGGCAGAGGACATCCGCTGCGCATGTGACCGGGCTGTTTGCAGCGAAAGCAGAACACCCGCCGACAGTCCGCCGTCCGGTGGCCAAAGGTGACGCACTCCAGACAGAGCTGCTGGCCCTGGATGCCCTCCTTCGGCCCAAAGAGCTGGCCGTTCTCGAGGCGGACGACGGTCCCATTTTCCTCTGTCTCATCATATTCCTTTTCCGTCACAGTGGGCATCATCTTTCCCTTTCCCTTGTAGGCCTCTTCCAAGTTCAAGCAAAGCCCGTCAAAGCTAACAGCCCCTGCTGCTGGTGATGATGGTAATCCGCGTCCGTTTCCACTGAACCGCCAATGCTGCGCCGAGACGGGACAGTTGCGCGCCTTGTGGCCCACCTGAAAGCAGCGGTAGCAGAGCATCGCCTTGGGCAGGACGCAGTCGGTGGTTAGGTGGCCCAGCTCTTTGCAGTACGTACAGAAGAGCTGCTGATGGCCAAAAGAGGTGCTCAAGGACTGCTTCTGCTGCTGCTGGCGCTCGATGCCCTTCTTGCGGTAGTGGTCGCTAATCAGACGGGTCAACGTTCGACTGAGTGCAGAGAGCGACTTCTCGGGACAGCAGAGCAGCGCCAGATTCGCCGGCCTTCGACGAAGCCGTTCGGCGTGTTCGGCCCGTCGGCGCACCGGCTGGGGCAGCTTTCCGGCGAGCACCTCGTAGAGCACCTCTTCAGAGGCACCTCCTTCTCCTTCTCGCTCTTTGCTCATGAAGGTAACGGCGGCGGCGGCGGCGGCGGGAGCAGCACTTGGAGAGGTGCTGAAGGATGCAGGAGATCCCGGCAGTGACTGCGAGCTAAAGAGACGGAGGAGCTGTCGTACACTGGCGACGGTGGCGAGCAGTGCCTCCAGGGCGGCCACGTCGTCTTCGTCGGAAACCGGGGGCAACGGGGCGAGTTCGGCGACCATCAGCGTCTCAAGTTGCTTCAGCTCTTCAAATCGGCTCATCACTACCTCTGGAGAAGGTCGTCTTTCAGGAGACAAGTCCATTTCGGGCTTCACTTTATCTTCCACCTTCTCTTCTTCTTCATCTTCTGCTTCACCAGCAGCTGTGATGGCCAGCATTTGAGCTGCCGGCGGCGGCGATCGGGCAAAGATATCGAGAAGGTGGTCGCCAAGGTAGTGGCGAAGGCGCAACATGGCCATCTTGTTTGGCTGTCGAGAGCTGCAATGGCCACCGCCGTTCTGCTGAAGCTGACCGCCAAAAGACTCTCCCCGTGGGCTGCTGCGCCTGTACTGCTCAACCATGGACGGCGGAAGTTTAGTCAGCACGTACTTCGACAGTAGCCTTCCCCTGAAGTGATCGCTGAGGCGGCGGTCTTTGATGAGAGAGCTCAGCGTCAGCAGCAGCTCCCGCAGGCTGGCAATGTCCGCTTCGCTGGTGACCGACGGTTGGGCCTCGAGCTCGGCTTCAACTTGGCTTCTAACAGAGCTCTTCACTTTGATAGCTGGTGGCTCTTTTTCAAGTTCCGCTTCGGCTCCATGCTCAATTGAGACTTGACTGACGTTGGGAGAACTTTGAGGCGACTGCACTTGACTGCACTCGCTCACCTCGGTTTGATCATTAAGCGCCGTTAGAAGCTCAAGATCATCGGTGGAAGTAGAAGTGGAGGCGTCAACCATCTACAGTTGAAATAAAAAGAAAAACAGTGAGAACTGGGCAAAAAAGAAATATCAAGCAAAACGAGCTTACCTGAACTTTTACCTGATTCGTTGACGGATTCGGGAGAGAGTAAGTGGACGATGAAGTTAGAGAAATCGATGATACCGATGAAAAGGAGGAAGGAGTCGAAGAGCGGCCACCACAGTTGCAACATTTCTCTTTCCTCTCCTTGCAGAGCTTCTTCTTGAGGAGCACTAGCGTCTCCAGTTTCTTCCACCAGTGGGCAATCCGGGCGGTCCACACTTCGTAGAAGGCCGCCTCACCAAAGTACTGGTCGCCCATAGAGAGAAAGAGCACCTCGGTGGCCTTGAGCCGCATGCGAATCTGCTCCTCCGGCAGGTGGTCCAGTCCATCGGATTTGATCGTCTCCAGAAGGGCGTCAATCGTGCAGGCGTTCAGCTGCAGCAGTCGAAGCGCTTGGATGGTCGTCATCGTTGTTATGGTGGTGGTGGTGGTAGTGGTCATGGTGGCTCAGAAGCCTGGTCCAGACCCCCAAAGAGGTAAAAGAGAAGAATAAAAACGGCAGAGCAAGAAGTAGAACAGTTGTAGAACTGAGCTTCGAAGAAGGTTTTTTTGTAGAAGTAGACACAAGAATGAAGCTCCTCTTCTTCTTTCTCTTAGCGCAGAAAACTATGAAGTTCAAAGAATTTTAATGCCGAAGTTGGTGTTGGTGAGGGTGAGGGTGATGGGTGAAGGTGAAAAATAAAAGCAAAGCATGCGTTGATTTCGAAAGACGTCCGACCGCGGCCGCCGCTCATGCAAGACTGAAAGGCGCGAGCGGCCTGCTCGGCGCTGTACAAACGTGCCGCATCATGCGTGGTGGCAACTTTTGTTTGCCTCATCGCCGCTGGTGGCGCCAGCAGTCCTCTTCTGCTGATTCAGCAGAAAAATAACACAGAAAACGCTTTTCAAAAGATAGATAAGAAGCTGTTGTTTACTGCGAACTTCCTCGAGAAGCTCATCAACACAGTTATATCAAAGCAACAGAGCTACTCCTTGGCAGCAAATACTGGAGCCATGTCATCATCAGCCTTTTCAGCCAACGTTCCAGCTGGTTCGATTTGCAATTTTGACTGTTGTTGATGTTTTTCTAAGGCGGCCGATGACGCAATGACTTGGGGCGGCGGCGGCGTCAGTTGATTGACTTGGGCTGGATTTAATTTCAAAATTCAAGAAAAGGATGCAAAACTCAAAGGTAAACCACTCACCTAGAACCTGAGCCTGTGCTTCGCTAATCTTCAGCGCCTTCCTCTTCCTCTTCGACTTGCCACTTCTAGTCGGCAGCTCTCTACTTTCACCCCTCTTACTCCTCTTCTCCACGACTATCATTTGCTGGGCCACCACTTCCTTCTCACCACCACCACCAACTCCCACACCACCACCACTGCCTCCTTTAGACCTGTCCACCACCCCGGTGGGACAGTAGCCGAGGTAGTAGCCGAAGAAGATCAGACTGAGACAGGGCGAGCAAAGGAAGAGTGTGAGCGAGCCGAAGACGAGCAGACTTTGGATGGCCAGAGCAAAGGCGGAGCCCGCCAGACGGTCCTGAAGATTAGAAACGATGTTTATCAGCCTCACCTTCACCACCACTTCAACCTGTTGTTTACCTCGTCCAGTTGGTTCTCCTTGGTGCAGGTGTGCTCCAGACAGTACCAGCGGTAGGGACACTGCCAGTCGCTGCTGCAGCTCAGCGTCGGGTCAATTAGGTCGTCGAGGTGAGGTGACAAAGCGAGGCCGAGGTTCGCAGGTGATGGTGGTGGTGACACCTTTGGAAAGCTCAGGATTGACGAGGTACAAACTGACAGCAAAGTTATAATCAGAAGCATCATCACCATTTCTATTTGCCGAAGATTTAAAAAATCAAAATACTGAAAACTCAAACTCTTGCACTTGTCTTTTGTAACAACAGTGCTTGGCAACAACAACAGGGTCAACAGTGTTCGAACTTTGCCGCCACTAAAGTGCACTTTTTTGGAGCAATGCACCTGCAGTGCAACCAATCTGACACAATCAAGCCAGGTACTCGCTCTTTACCTAATTGCCAATTAATTGAGAAGATCACAAGAGCGTCCGTTCGGTGATAGTCTGCACATCTCAGTTGATCACGTCTCTTACCACACATCACCAACGTCATTAGATAACCACCACCACCACCCGTTTGCCTGCACCTTTATCACCGGTTTCTTCTCACGCACCCCTGGCAGCAGCAACAACAGTGCAGCCAGTCGTGTGCAAGTCGTCACCGCAATCTCTCTCTCCCCTCAATACCAATGATTGCAGCGTCCAGGCTGTGACAGGTTTCCCTGCCAGCCGCCAGTGTACGGCAGACGGACTCACTCACTCACTCACTCAATGTACGCTTATTCACTGTACAGTCAACAGGCAGAGGCAGATATAATATAAACAATAAGAGTTATCATCGCCAACTGCAGAGCAACCACCACCACCAGAAAGCGATCACATTACCATGATGATGACTCAGACGCGAGGGCGACAACGACGACGATAACACTGGCTCTCTCTTTCTCTTTCTCAGCACCAACAAAACAAGACTACCAGTAAAACACACACTCACACCGAGCCACTTTTCTACTCTACACTGGAAGAGCCGTCGCTCTCTGCAACGCACCAATTTGACCAGAGCAGCAGCAGCATCAACGTCTGCTGCACCAAAACAATAGCAGAGGGAGTTTATTGCTTTTTCACTTCAAATCACTCTGATACCAATCAGGTCACCGGCCAGCATGGCTTTCCCCAAATCACCCCCAGCTATCACCTACCTTGCCCTTATTTTCCTGATCACACTCTTCTCTTTCACCACCACAACGGCTGCTTCCAGAAAATCGAACTCCAAAACATCTGAAAACCTTTCCGAGCGGCAGCTCATTCACGCCGTCACCGGCAACCTCTCCGCCATCACCGCCGAGGGGGTGATCACCTCCACTGACACTAAATTAGGCGGCAGGGGCAGTGGCACCGCCTTCAGCTTCTTCTGTCGCACCAAGCGCGACTGCGCCTTTGCCGGGCCGAACGCCACCTGCTGGAACTACCAGTGCATCTGCGACCTAGGCTACCTCTCCATCAATGCCTACTGCACCAAAGTCACCTGCAGCCGCAACTACGACTGTCTCCGGTACTTCTACAACACTCGCTGTAGCTGGGACAACAGCTGCGTCTGCAACTACGGCACGCACCTCGACCGGTACTCACAGTCCTGTCTCACCGGCGGCGATGACTTCCTGGCGCTGAAGATCAGCCTGCCCATTAGCCTGCTCTTTGTGGCCATTCTCGTCGCCTGTTGCTGCTGCTGTTGCTGCAAGCGTCGTCGAAGGCGGCAGCAGGAGGTAAGTCATTTTTAGCTACTGATTGACCAAATTGTGTAACTACCAAGGTCTCTGTCTTCCACCAGGCTCGCCTCCTCGCCAACCCCGCCGACCCGAATGGCGCCCTGTACCAGGCAGTGGGCGGTGGCGGCAGCGGCAGTTCTTCCGCCTACAATTACCAGGGTGGCTACCAGAACCCGACACTGATCTACCCGAGCCTGAATCAGGCGCCACCGCCGTACAATCCCGCCTACGTTCAGGGCGGTCAGACAACTGCTGCTGCTGGCTGGAACCTGCCGCCGACGACCAAGTCTTAGAGAGACCAGAAGAACCAAAGGTGGTGGCGGCAGCTGCTTATACAATATGTTTATTGCAGCCCAATTTTGCCTTTATTTTGTATTCCGTCGTAGATATTGTCAATAGTGTGTATGTGTTGGATTCACTCGAGATGGGGCAACTATAAAATAAAAGGCCCTAAGGCCTAATAGACGCAAACCTTGATGATATTCAACGCCAATGCTCTTTTTAAGCATTTTGCGACAAAGGAGATTTTGCACATTTCTGTTGCTGTCAATGAACGGCAATGTGCTTGCCTGCGTAACACATTTCAGTGCATTTTTGGTCACCTTTGGACGCCACTTTGGAACCTTTTGAAAAACTTGAACACTTAGTGTTTTTAACTTTTTGCTCAGCTCGACGAGCTGAATCTACATGCCAAGTTTCAAGTTCTAATTTTAAGTTTGAAAAATTTCTTGTTTTTTGCTACCTCCTTTCTCTGATGGGAGCATGATACTGTCTGTACAGCAGTACGCTTTGCATTTTGTCATGCTGAGGATTCTAAAAGTCGTCTTTTACGGTCTGCTCTTAAGTGTGATCGTCGTCTACGAAAGCTCCCAAAAGCAACGTGCTCTCTGGCGAACCGTTGTGGAAAGCAGCGAGAAGCTAGCTCGGCAGTTGAAAGTTGGAGCTCGGCGAAGTAAGTGATGATACTGGTGGTGCGCATTTTATAATCTAATTACTTTTCCCTTTTTCTAGAGCCGACAAAAAAGCCATACGATGAGCTCCTTATTTTTAGAAGCTTGCGTTATGAACCGAGAAAAGTTTTGCGATAAGTTATACCAAGATGCTTGTCTGAAGAAATGCTACAAAGCAATCAGCAACAAAGACCCAAAGGTCATCAAGGAGCTGATAGAGGCGCTTAAAAACCGGCAGCCATTTGACCCTAGCGACTCCTCCGTCCTGATCTATTTCGACGCTCAGGAAAAGCCTCATTTTCAGTTCATGTTTTGGGGAGATAAAACGCCTAAGGGCTGGAAACCCCCCGAATCTGACCAATCCCTTTATTCAGATGTTATACTGGGGAAGGTCTTGGACGCTCTGCAGAAAACTGCAAAAATAAAAGAGGAAAAAGGTACTTTAGCGCCGTAAAACGCTTTGTTTTTAACCAACCTTTGCCCTTTTAGATGATCCTCCTACTTCTTTTTCTGCCACTGGCATTTCACGTTCCGTTGTTAAAAGCAATTTAGAAACAGAAAACGCTACGATTCGCAAAAATTTTACAAACTCACCTCATTACATGAAAGCGAGAAACACGAGAAAGTTTTCTTGTCCTTTTTGCCGGCAAGCTATCACCAAAAACGGTATGATCAATCACTTTGACACAGAGCACTCGGCAAGCAAAGAAACTGGTACTGACAGTTGAGGATTTGTCATTAATTACATTGTTCACACTGCTGTTAAATTATCGCAAATAAAACGGAATGTCCAATCCAGTTTGTTTTTCCACTGTTTGTGTGGATGCGGCCATACCCGAGATGAGCACCCCAGCCAGTTCAGTGTGTACTAACGCAGCAACTGGCCGTAACCACAACTGCTACCTTCTATCCAAATAACTGATAGGCTGCTTCCACTGTGCACAGTGCACTGTTACGGTCATCAGGTTGGCTTCCAGCCCAGTTCTGCCTGCCTGCCGTCATTTGCCGCCCGTAACGACCAGTCCAAGAAGGGCTGCTTTGCTTTGCCTCTCACCACCAGCTGATTAGAAACGGTACAACAACAAGAACAACAGGAGAAAGCAGCGCGTAAAAACAGTGCTACTGGTCGCCTGGAGTTGATGAGCCTCCTCACTGATGGATACAAACTTCTTCTTCATCACTTTTTGTGGTATATAAACAATGGCGCAAAACAACAGTCGATCACCAACTTCTGTTTGGTTTACTCTTGGACTTTAACTTTAAAAATCTCAACCTCAAGCACAATCATGTCATCATCGTCCTCCTCATCCACCACCACCACCACCACCAGCCACCACGAGGTGATCATCATCGGCGCCGGCGTCTCCGGCCTCGCCGCGGCCAAGGTTCTCGCGGAGAAGGGCGTCGACGTGGTGGTCTTGGAGGCGCGAGACCGAGTCGGCGGGCGAACGTGGACAGTCAAGGTAGGGAGGTTCATTTGAGTGGGCGATATTCAAATAACATCCTTCTCCTTATCCTCCTCCTCCTCCTCAAGAACTCCAAAGTCGGCTGGGTGGACCTGGGCGGCGCCTACGTGGGCCGAACGCAGAACCACCTCCTGCGGCTGGTGAAGGAGCTCGGCCTGAAGCTGTACCCGGTGAATGAGGTGCAGAAGCTCGTCTACTACAACAACAGCTCAGAAAGAGGTCAACCAGCCAGTCGATCGCTGTTCAGCAATGAACAGGCGCCGGCGATGGGCTTCCTCGCCTCGCTGGACGTCAACCACGTCCTCCGGCTGATGGACCGCATGGGCGAGGAGATTCCCGCCGAGGCGCCCTGGCGGTGTCCTCACGCCGAGCAGTGGGACCAGATGACCTTCAAGGAGTTCCTCCTGGAGAACACCAGCACCCAGGAGGCACGTGACTTTATGCGCCTTTTCATCACCCTCATCGTCACCAGCGAGCCCTACCAGTCCAGTCTGCTCTGGTTCCTCTGGTACGTCAAGCAGTGCGGCGGTAAGTGGGCAAAGAAATCTTTGAGTGAAAAGATCAAAACATTTTCATTTTCTTTCTTTATTTGGTTATACCCTCAACTTCCAGGCACGCAGCGCATCTTCGCCACCCGCAACGGCGGCCAGGAGTTCAAGATGGAGGGCGGCACGAATCAGATCACCGAGCGGCTCGCCGATGTGGTCGGCCGCCAGGCGCTGCACCTCAACTCGGCCGTCTACTACATCGAGCAGCAGGAGAACGCCGAAGCCGAAGCCGAAGAAGGTTCTAAAAGCGACGGCCCCCGTCCGCGCGTCACCGTGAAGACGCTCAACGGGCGGACCTTCACCGGCGAGCGGGTGATCATGGCGACGCCGCCGGCCGTCCAGCAGAAGATCCACTACCAGCCGCCGCTGCCGGCGATGCGCAACCAGCTGCTGCAGCGGACGCCCCAGGGCACCGTCTTCAAGTGTATCGTCTACTACGAGCGTGCCTTCTGGCGGTCGCGCGGCATGTGCGGCAGCATGCTGCTGCTGGGCGACGACGAGGAGGTGCCGGTCAATTACGCCCTCGACGACAGCAAGCCGGACGGAGGGCGGCCGGCCATTGTCGGCTTCCTCCCGGCGGACAAGGCGCGAAAGCTGATGGAACGCACCAAGGAGGAGCGGCTGGCGATCATCGTCGCCTCCTACGCGGCCGCCTTCGCCACCGAGGAGGCGCTCAGTCCGGTGCACTACGAGGAGCAGAACTGGAGCGCCGAGCAGTATTCAGGTAGGTGGTTCTGCTACTGTTTCATTTTTCGAATTGGTGTTTTGACCAGTCTTTTTCCTCCCCTCCCCTTCTTCCTAGGCGGCTGCTACACCATGACCCTGGGCCCCGGCTTTCTCACCCGCTACGGACCTCACCTGCGACGACCAGTCGGCCGAATGCACTTTGCCGGCACGGAGACGGCCACCGAATGGTCGGGCTACATCAACGGCGCTGTTCAGGCGGGCGAACGCTGCGCCCGAGAGGTGCTCCTCGAGCTGGGCCGCCTGACGAAGCAGGAGGCGGCCCGTGCCCAGGTGGAGCCCGTGTCAACCGAGTACCCGCCTCTGGAGGTGCCGGCCGCCGGTCTCTACGAGCGATACGCTCCCTCGGCGCGGGGCTTCATCACCGGCGCCATCACCGCCGCGCTGTCGCTGGCCGTGGTGGGCGTTGCGTTTGCAGTGCATAGTATTGGAGGAGCCGATCAGTGTTGGAGCTCACTTGTACAGTCGTACTTCGGTGGTGGTGGGGGTAAATAAAAGCATAAACAAAGATTCAGTTTATATTTTGCTGCTGCTGCTGCAAATCAAGTAAACAGTGCTGGTTGTTTTCTCAGTAAAAAAAGTAGCAGGCGAGTTAAAAAGTAGTTCATCGTAAAAGTGGTAAAATGGTGGGGTGGGAGTAAAAGGGGTAACAGGAGTTTAAAACGAGGTGAAAACATACTTGAAAAGAAGTTTGAAAAAGGGGTGACAGTGGTCGTCAGTCGCTTTTAGAACAATTCTTGGTAGTGGTACTCAAAGCCGCGAGAGACCATGGAACGAGTCAAGGGTCGGTTGCTGGAAACTCCTGACACTTCAGCAGCGAGCTTCTGCTTCTTCTTCGGCGGTGGCAGCGGAGATGGTGACGACGATGATGTACAGTTGTTGTTCATCTTTTGAGCGGCCGTGGCCGTGGCCTTTACCAGGAGCGCTTTTTGTTCGAGACCAAAGGTGGCGGCGACTCTCTTCAGGGCCTTTCTCTTTCGTTCGGTTTCTCGCTTTCGCTTGCGGCGACGGTCGCGCTCTTCATCGCTGAGGGCGGCCTCCTTTTGGCGCTGCTTGGCCTCGGCCACCTGCAGGGTGAGCACGGCGGTCTTTCGACGACGCGAACAAGGAGGACGGCCTTTGGTTGAAGGCGAAGAAGCAGATGATGATGGTGATGATGACGCAGGAGATGCAGATGAGGACGCTGGTGAAAGTGATGCCGATGAGCCAATAGAAAAGGATGAGGAAGAAGTCGAGGATGCAAATGAGGGCGTCGGTGAGGGCTGCTGCTGCATCGGCTGTGGTTCTAGGCCTTCATTCTCCAAACGCAAAGCCTCCTCGATTATTCCCTGCAGGGCTAGCTCCTCCTCATCCGCCTCATTCACTTCATCATCATCCAGAAACAGGTCACAACTTGCGATCATATCATCAGCGATCCTCAGCCAAGGGGCCTGAAAAAGGGAGAAATCGATGTAGAAAAGTACAAAAGATCAGTTAGAGTTCTAAATGATGGAAGGTAATCAAACTGATTGAGAATCTGTTCTGTGAGTTACAACGTACCGGTAGAGCGGCTGTCCAGCCGGTCACCCACTGCAGAAGCTGTTGCTCGTCGTCGTCTTCGGATTCTGACGGTTCGTGCTGGTCAGTGAGATCATCAAAGGAGTGGATCATCTTGTCATCTCCATCTTTTCTTTCCTCCAGAAGAGGAAGAGGTTGGTGATCGCTGAAGTGCATTTCTGATGCCATTCTAGTGGAAGAGGACCTTGTCAGCATTCAAAGAAGAAGCAGAGGAGGAGGAAGAATTGGCAACTTGAAACCAGAAAACTAGTCGAGAAGTTTGAAGATGATGCAAACGTAAAAACGTGCGTAAAAGCGTGTTTTCGCAATGGCGATTGAAGTGGCAATGAAAAGGGGAAAAACAGGCGGCTCTCGATTGACAGTGCTTGAAAAGCGACACGTAAGGCTCACAGCGCTAAGTCACACATCGCAAGTTAAGTGACAAAATAGAACTGTCAACTTTGAGCTTGACTGTTTGGCAATGACTGTGGTGTCACTGATTCAAATCAAACAAATGCATCTTTTGTTTTGGTGTTTATTGAGTAAGAAGTTTACACAAGAAGGTATGGAATCTACAAGAGATACGTCTAATCACCCAAAAAACAAATCTTAAACACACTTACTCTAAGAATCTAAACGGAATTCATGAATAACAGCAGCTACAACAATTAGCAAAAATATGATGGAAAAATGATGACAATAAGATGGAAAAACTCTGTTTACCGTTTCTTGTTGATGCAAAAGTTCTTCTCTCATTTACGAGCTTTAGCCGATTTTCGAGGCTCGCGACGTTGGCGGAGGTGGGCGAGTGAGTGTTTGTTGTTGCTGCTGTTGTTTTTCTGAGTCGTAGCTTGCTCCTCTAGTTCTAGCATCTCAAAGGATGATGAGGGTGTGGCTGTTGAGGTGTTCTGCTTATCATCTTTTGCCTTCTCATCATTCTCATCCTCCTCATCATCATCACTGTCGTGAACGACCTTGGGTTTCGGGTAGCAGTCGACGATGGAGACCACCTCAATGTCGTCGGAGGCGATGATGCCCTTGGCCACCTCCATCGCCTTGGTAGCTGTGGACTTCTTACCTTTCTCCTGACCTGCAGCAGCCTTCTTGGAAGTACCTGTAGCGGCTACATCAGGATCGGTGGTCGAAGAAACGCCGAGTTCGATTTCCTCCTTCTTTAGGTCATCAGCCTCATCCGGACGGCCATATCCGCGCTCGATCATGCAAGTGTAGAGCAGTGGTTGAGAGCGACAAGAATGCTTTCCATTGTTGCTGCTGCTGCTGACCACCTCCTTCTCAATCAGACTAATGTGCTCCCAGAGGCGTTCTCCCTTGACTTCGAGCAGCAGGTCCAGCAGCGACTGAATGCTGCCCAGTGCGTGGTGGTTCCAGCAGAGCAGCTGCGCCGCCGCCGACGACATGGAGCGATTGTGTCCTGCAAAGATGATGATGATGACCATCAGTCAGTCAGTGAACAGCGAAAGCGAACAAGTAACAACATCCTCTTCATAACACTTACCCTCATAAAACTGGTAAAACTTGTGCAGCTCAAAGAGCAGCCGGTCCAGGTCGACCAGCTCCTCAAGCTTCTGCGGCTGCTGCTGCTCAACTCGACTCTTCAGCTGGCTGACTACCACCTCGTGGAGAAGCTCTGCCACCTTGAGGTTGTAGAGGCGGGCGGGCTCGGTGGCCGCCGCCGATGACAGTTCTCGCCGTGTAAAGCAAGTGAAGAGGCGTAAAAGAGCGCTCAGATAGGTCGTTCGGTCGATGTTGAACAGAGCTGGGGCGGCTGGGGCGCCTCCGCCCCCTCCTCCGCCCACCACGCTGGTGGCCAGCACCTTCAGCAGGTTCTTCAGCATGCCCAGCTTCGATTTATCATATTCCTTCTCATTGTCATCAGCTAAACCTGCTCCTTGGAGGCCCTTCCTTTCCAGCTCGGCGACCACCACCAGCGGAATGAGCGACTGGAGGAGGTCGGTGAGGGCGTCGGCGCTCAGCTGGCGGGCCATCACTCGACTGGGCGAGCGGGCGACCACGACGAGGAAACCGACGAGAAGGGAGACCAGCTTGGGAGCGGTGGCCTCGAAGAAGGGCGCCACTGATCGGCCGCAGTTGAAGGTGCGAATGAAGAGGCGCTCCTCTCGGGTGGCCGGGTAGACGAGGAGGAGGCGGCGAAGCTGGCGGGCGGCCATGCCGATCAGTGTGTCGAGGTGAAACTTGCCGGTATGAACGGCCTTGTCGCCTGTGTTGGTCAGCTTTTGAAGCGCCTCGTTGAAGGCGTTCAGGTCTTCGGTGGTGGCGGTGGAGGTAGCCAGCCAGAAGGCGGCCTGTCGTTGAAGTGATTCGAAGTAGGCGGGGTATCGGCCATCGGCCTGCATCTGAGCCATCCACTCTTTCTCGTCATCATCGCTGTCATCTTCAGGACTTGCTTCAGAGGCGGTCCGTCGAGCTGGCACAAGGTCAACTTTCTCTTTATCTTTAGTCAGCTCCTTCTGCAGCTTCTTGATCACCTTGGCCGCCTCCTCAAAGAAGACCTCAAAGCTGTCGTCGATGACAACGGCTGAAGCTTCTGCTGCTGAAGCCATGATAATTACAAAAAACTGAGATGGGATGTTGTAGAAAGTTGTCACTTAGAGACGAGATCTGGTTGCTGCTGCTGCTGTTTGACTACCTCCTCTGTCCTTTCTGCTGCGAAGCTACGACGCATCTTTCGGTGAGCGACTTTTTGTTGTTTTTGTTGTTGCTTCTTTTGCTGTTCCAGACGGTGTTGCAGCGAGGAGCGACATTTTGGATTCTAGCAAGAGTGCGCTCATAAGGGGAGAGATATTCCAAACTGAGACGGCGCCAACTGATTCGGTTCGATTCGGGTGCTGAAGTGTGAGAGAGAAAGCTTCAGAGCCGCAAGTATATAGCCGAAGACGAAGAAGAAAAGGAAAACTGGAGAGAATATTCTGTCTTACATTGCCGCTGCTGCTTCAACCGATTCAGGTGACAATTTTGAATTTAGTTGGCGCGGTCATGAGGGAACGAAGAAAGAGAGGAGAAGACCTGTTCAGCAGTTCACGCATTTGCCATCAGTAGCAGCTAGGTCAGAGGAGAGAAGCATTGACCTGTGACCTTTGGCCTGAAGCATTGGAGGAGGAGACAAGCAACAGGCAAGTCAGCGGCAGCAGCTGCAACAACAGCAGAAGCAGGGCCAAAACCGAGCAGAGCAGCCAGACTTCAAAACGTCCAAACAAACAAACAACAACCACCAAGAGCAGCCAAAATGAACTCAGCAAACAAAACTCCGAAGAATCAAAGCTCCTTCCTCTACTATGAACCGGCGCCGTACTACGAGGCGGACCACTTCGATGACCTCATTTTCAGTGGTAAGTTTTCTCTCTCCCTTTCTAAAACTCTCAAAACCTATATTTTTAGAGTGTACTCATCAAGAAGAACTCCTCCTCTCCAGACAACTGCAAACTCACCTAACCTTGACAAATGATGAAGAGGAAAAACCAACGTCAAACTCAACAAACACCTCCTCACCAAACATCACCACCGAGGTAAACATGGCCGAGCTGCGCGCCCAGGTCACCGCTCTGGTCGGCCAGCTGGAGCGAATTCTCGGACAGGTGCAACAACAGCCAGAGAAAGGAGGCAGCAGCAACCACGCAAACAAAATTGGCTAAGGTTTGTTTCTATTTTTTTGTGGAGAAAAGTTGTCTTTGTACAGAAGAGAGAATAAAGACTAAGATGAGTCTAGTTGACCACCGGGAAGCTGACGTAGTTGTTCAAGCCAATGTTGTTGTGGTGACGCTCGACGCGGACGTAGCCGTGCTCGCCGTAGTTCTAGAGAGGAGAGGGCAAAAGGTGTCAACAAGAGACGCAAAATAGAAAGAGGGAAAGATGGCCTACCGGTCCCCAGCTGTTTCGCATGACCCAGTAGTCGATGCCGTGCTCGTTGCCCCAGCCGACGATGGCAACGGCGTGCGTGATGTGCGTCGTTCCGGGGTAGATGTTTCGCAGAATGCCCGACCTGTAGTGCTCTGTACAACGGAAAGGAGAAAATGACAGGATTAGAAAATGTACCACCATTACCACCACCACCACCACTTACTGAAGGCATCAAAGTGGGCCATAATGTGGACGGAGACGGGGCCGTGGTTCTTGATCACCGTCATTAGCGCCTCATCGGCGGCGTTCAGTCCGAGGCGGTGGAAGCCGTTGACGTGGTAGCGCTGGTGGCCGCCCATGCGACTGTCCAGGCAGGCCTCGTTGTCCTGTCGAAAACAAATCCTTGGTTAATCTAGTAAACTCAAGTATAAACTCAAATCCTTACCAGTCCTCGGTAGGGGTAGGAGTGCTCATCGACCAGACCGTGCGTCTGAGCAAAGCGGAAGGCCTCCCAGGGAAAGCCACCGTGGCAGCCGTTGTTCTGGTAGCCGCTGGCGTGTCGGGTACAGTCGACCAGCTCCTGCTTGCTCAGCTCGACGTGGATGTTGTGGCGGAAGGCCAGTTGCGTCTCGATGGTGGTCGCCGCGGCGAAGGCCCAGCTAGAGAAAGTGACACACAGAGAAGGTTAGAAAGTGCCCATTTCGAAATACTGTTCAAGCAGCAGCAGACTTACCAGGCGCCACAGGTGTGCTGATTAATGGCCGCCGGCATGCGGATCTTCTCGCGCCAGTCAAAGTGCGCCGGCAGGTTGCGCTCCGGGTTGACGTGGATGATGTCGTAGAACTCCTCACCACTGCTGGTCATGTTCACCGCCGGGGAGAGGGCGGCAAACTCGGCGTCAGAGAGATCGGAGAGCTCGTTGATGGCGAGCTGGACGCCGCCGGCCAGCTTCCCCTGGTTCGCTTCGATGAAGGCGAGCGAGGCGGCAAAGTTGGCCCGTCGGGTGGCCTCCTCCGCCGCCGAGGCGTACTGCTTGTGGAAGGCCGCCTTGAACTGCTCAAAGGTGGTGATTGATGGCTGTTCTTGGCTCTGCACCGGGCTGCCCTGGACGAGGGCGGTGCCCAGGAGGAGGACAAAGGCGAGGATGGCGGCAGGTTGGTGGTGCATCGTGGCGGCTCAGGGCGAAGCTGAGGTTCAGGACGAGTTCCAGCGGTCAGTGGAACCTCGCTTATATCGAGTCTCTGTGCCTCAGCCATTATCATTACCATTATCATCAGTCGATATTGATATGATACTGACGATCAGCGGAGTTGATAGCTCTTCAAGTACGCGCTCCAAAACACAACTAATAACCGGACCTTCTGATTGAGTGTGCCAAGAGGGCGATTTTCTTTAATTAAACTTAAGGGTTAGGAGAAGGCTGTCGTCACTATTAAACGCGTGAGTAGTGACGTGATAGAGGGGTGATAGTGATAAACGATGATAAGGAAAGCTTGTGATCATCAACAACGGTGAAAAAAAACAGGTGATGGTCGAGGTCGGTGCTGGTACAGAAGACCGTCGCCACAACAAATTAATCGTCGCTGATAATAAGTGCGGCCAGCGATGTGAGTAAACAACTGGAGTTACGGTATAACGGGTGTAAATGTGGTTCGCGTCGATTTTAATTGTTTGATTGTTTGATTGATGAGAAAAAGTACAGTGACAGTGGTCCAAAGGTCAAGAAATGGGAGTTCTTAGGATTTGCTACCGTTGGTGATCATCATCAATCTCTAGAATTTTGTTTGGTAAAAGTTGTGGGAACACTTCCCGAGGCAAAGTGTGTTGATTTGGTCGATCCGCCCACGAGCTGAGTGGCAACAGGCGTCGTGTTTTGTCTTTGTTCTTTTTCCCTCTCGTTTTCTTGCGTCAAAGTCAAGTTTTGCTTGTTATCATTTTGTTGACTTCAATTTTCCTGCCACCGATCCAAGCTATCCATTCTTCGAAATAATATTTTAACGTGGTGAAGCATCATGGCAAGCTCAAGTCCAAGTGGAGCTGTGAAAGTGGAGCCGCCGCTGATCGCCGAAAACCAGTCACCACATATCTATGATAATCTTGATGACGCTGAAGGAATGGGCGAAAAGGAAATGTCCCTCGTTTCTTACTCTTCCGAGAGCTCTTGTGGTTCAGACTCTTGTGACTCCCTTAACTGCCCTTCCAAGTTAAATGGACGCTCTCTTGACAATGAAAATGAAAACGATGAGAACATGGACGTTGAAAACGCTGAGAAGGTGCAAGATGTTGAGAGCACCAAAGAAAATGAGTCGGACAAAGAGAAAGTCAAAGAAGAAGACAAGGATGATGATGATGAAATTTCTGAGAAAAAGCAAGAAGTCGTAGACAACGACAAAGAAAAAGAGGCTGACATAGGAGAAATCAAAGAGGAAAATGTAAAGAAAGAATCTATTGATGCTGATGTTCTTCTTCAAGAAGCCCCACTTATCCCTGAGACCACTGAAAAGTCTAAAGAGACCGACATCTTCACTTCCGATTGGGAAGTTTTCGTCAAACCAAAACAATCTACAAGTGGTAAAAGCTCGCCAAAGGAGGAAGAAAGATCTCATGGCTGTAAGTTCTACTTTAGACGATCAGATCTGTCTCTCAAGGATGATGATGATGACAACTACAAAGACGCCCCATGGGTGCTAATGAATAACACTGAAGGCAAGTGGACTGTTTCTGGAAAGCTGGACTTTAAAAGCAACTTTAAAGTTGAAGAAAAGACTGCAACGTTCTTTTACATCAAGCGTCCTCGTTTGCCTGATCCAAATGACAAGCAGAAGGCCATTGTGGAGAAAAAGAAAAAGGAAGAGAAGGAAGAGATGAAGAAGGAGCATGCCGCCGATGAGGCCTTTGACCAGGCGGTTCCGCTTTTTCAAAGCTGCCCTAAACGACCCAACACCGTCAACGAGAGCGCCTGTGCCGTTCGCGTGAAGAAGCCTCCTCGCCGTTTCTCAAACTAACTTCAACCTGGCAACCAGATTTCAACGCCCGACTTCTTCAGAGTGCACACTTTTGCTAATTATTCTGTAAACATTTAGCTTACTCTTATATTTGCAGTATTCTCCACTACTACTACCACCACCACTACTACTACATACGAAGCGCTTCTATTCTCCTTATCAGAAAAATTTCATTTATTTCCACCTAAACAATTTGAAGACTGACACTACCCTCTGGCTCTATTTACCGCCGCCATTGACGCGATCAAAGAGCTCCTTGAAGTTCCGGGTGTAGGCGACCATGTAGGTGAAGCCGTCAATCATCAGCTCAAACTGAAAGCGCTGCCAGAGGTTGACCGCCTTGCCCTCCACCCGCAGCCGGGCCACCTCCTCCGCCAGGTCCTTGTTCGCCTCCAGGCGGAGGTCCTCCACGGTGGTGGCCATCCGCTGCAGACTGCCGTCCACCTTTGCCCGGGCGCTCGCATTGACCACCTTCAGGTCGGAGAGCTGGCCGGCCAGGGCGATGTCCACCTCGGCCATGGCGACGACGGCGACGGTGAGGCGGCTGTTGATCACCGTATTGGCGCTGCCCAGCCTCTCCGAGAGCTCAAAGGCCGGCCAGCGGGCGAGGCCGCCGAGGATGCCCAGCGCCAGTTCGCCCATCTCCGCCAGCACGCGGCCCGCCTCCTTCGCCTGCAGCTCGAGGAGGCCCAGCGCCAGGCGGCGGCTAAAGAGGAGGTCGGCGTTGAGGTGGTTGGCCAGCAGTTCCTGCTTGATCTGCACGCTCAGCCTCACCGCCGCCGTTTCCGTTCGCTTGATGGCGGCGGTCAGCTGGCGCAGAGCGGCCTCGTCGCCCACCGACCCGGCCAGCTCCAGCTGGTCGTGCAGGGCGGCGGTGGCGTTGAGGAGGAGGGCGTTCACGGCGCCGCTCAGCTCACTCAGCTTCTCGTCCCTGATCGGGGCTTTGGTCGTCCACCGAGGGCTGTGTTCCGTTGTGGATATTACTGTTGGTGTTGTGGTGGTCACTGGATGAAATGTAGTCGAGGGGGTGTGAGTGGTTGTCGATGTGGGGGAGGAGGAGGTGGTGGGAGCGATGCTCGCACTGTGAACTACTGAAAAAAGATGTTTTTGGAAATGGGAGTGAAATTTTGCAATATATGTTGTCTACTTACCGGCGCCGAAGAGGACGGCGGCCATTAGAGTGGTGATGGTGATGAAGTGCTTCATGATTTCTAGTTCACCGTTGAAAGACGCTAGAAAGGACTCTTTTGTTGTTTTCACTTCTTTGATGTTCACTTGCTTAAATACTTACAAAAACTTAAATATTGCCTTTTTTGCTGCTGCAGTGTGTGCTTTAGGTGAAAAGTAGCGCAGACCTTATCTGGTTTTGATTACCTGTTGGTTGATTAATTGATTTATGCTGTCGATGCTCTTTATCTGTGTGCTCTCTCTCTCTCTCTTTCTTTCTTTTGCGCACAATTAGTGCACTTGTATAAGTTATTACCTCGCAGGGAAGCAAGAAGTACCAAATGATCCTCTTTTGTTACCGTTGCAAGTTTATTTGTTAAATCAAAATTAAAAAATCTCAGGACACTTTAGGTGCTCTGGATCTGTGTAATTCAACTCAAGTGATTGCCATAGTCAATGAGCTGATTCAAAGGAATTTGAACCTTAGTTTCTGGCAGTAGTTGAAGTTGAGCCATGGACCGGGGACGGAGAGGGTGACGGGCTGGTCGAGGGGTGAACCGGGGAAGGCGAGGGTGATGGACTAGTTGAACCATGGACCGGAGAAGGCGAGGGTGACGGACTGGTCGATGGGCGAACNTGAACCGGGGAAGGCGAGGGTGATGGACTAGTTGAACCATGGACCGGAGAAGGCGAGGGTGACGGACTGGTCGATGGGTGAACTGGAGAAGGAGAAGGTGAAGGAGAAGTTGAGCCATGGACCGGAGAAGGCGAGGGCGACGGGCTGGTCGAACCATGAACCGGGGACGGAGAGGGTGACGGGCTGGTCGAGGGGTGAATTGGAGAAGGAGATTGCGAAGGAGAAGTCGAGCCATGGACCGGGGAAGGAGAAGGAGATGGACTGGTTGAGGGGTGAATCGGAGAGGGTGACGGACTGGTCGATGGGCGAACTGGAGAAGGAGATGGTGAAGGAGAAGTTGAGCCATGGACCGGGGAAGGAGAAGGAGATGGACTGGTTGAGGGGTGAATCGGAGAGGGTGACGGACTGGTCGATGGGCGAACTGGAGAAGGAGATGGTGAAGGAGAAGTTGAGCCATGGACCGGGGAAGGAGAAGGAGATGGACTGGTCGAACCATGAACTGCCGGAGAAGGAACGATGACCGCACTGCGTACTACAGAAAGAAGGTTCAAAGGTATTAGTTCAAAGTTGACAATGATCAGTGGGTGTCCACTTACCGACTCCGCAGAGAACGGCGGCCGTCAGGACAATGGCAATGGAAGGCTTCATGATTCGTCTATTTCTGTTCTGTACTTGGATTGTGACTGGGAAAAAGTTGTATCACTTGTTTGCTGGTTGTGTTTGCTTCTGCCTGCTGAACAGTTTGCTGGTCACTTAAATACTGAAATGGAATCTACCCGCAAATCAAAAGGTTAAATCAGAAGAAATCATCAGTTACGACCTTTTGTAGCTAATACTTTTGTTTATCATCTGCTAATGTGTTTACATCGCTGATCAAGTACATAGCTTGTGCCGCTTCAAAGTGATCCGATGAGATATATTCTGCTCTCTGCAGTGGCTTGTGCTAGATCTGTGCTCACNCTGCTGAACAGTTTGCTGGTCACTTAAATACTGAAATGGAATCTACCCGCAAATCAAAAGGTTAAATCAGAAGAAATCATCAGTTACGACCTTTTGTAGCTAATACTTTTGTTTATCATCTGCTAATGTGTTTACATCGCTGATCAAGTACATAGCTTGTGCCGCTTCAAAGTGATCCGATGAGATATATTCTGCTCTCTGCAGTGGCTTGTGCTAGATTTGTGCTTAGTGATCACGCATTATCACACCTCAGTTGGGTAATTATTTCACCACAACAGCGCAATAAACAGTACTATTTGACCATTTATTGTATCAAACAGCTATCTCTTTTCACACCTCTCTCTATCTCTCTTTCTTCAAGACAGCAGTCCATGGTTCTACTTTAGGTATTGCTGTAATTAATTTGTCTTTTTCTTGACCGAAATAGAAGTGGTGGGAGAAGTTGTAGTCTTGTTCGTCGTCTTTGGCGAAGGAGACTTGCTTCGACTTTTCTTTGTTGTTGTTATTGAAGTACCCTTGCCTGGCAAAGTTTGCCTCTTGGGCGACGCACTGCTCTTGCTTTGTTTACTCTTCTTCTTCTCCTTCTTCTTCGCTGATCTACCACCACCACTGATCTTCGACTTTGATCCTTTTCGCAGTCCACGGTCCTTTTCACCTTTTTCGTCTTCTTTTCCGTCGCCGCCGTAAATCTCCTCCAGCTTTCGAAGCAGGTGGACCTGTGCCTTCTGCAGGCTGATCATCATTTGAAGGAGGTAGGCGAGGAGGAGGACGAGGACGACGACCAGGCCCAGCAGAGCGCCATTGACCAGCCACAGCCACTGGACGAGGGGCAGGTTGAGGGCGGTGGCCAGCCGCAGGTGCACCGAGTAGGTGGCCACCGAGGCGCGAAGCCAATTACTTTGGGTGGCGTTGAAGGCCGTCGGCTTGGCCGCCTTCAGGCCGTGTTTGTCGAGGAACTGGTGGCAAGCAAAAAAAGAAATTTTAGTGTTTTACTGTAGGAAAAGCAAAATTCAGCAAAAAGTTACCCAGGTTTTAAAGTCCTCGTTTGACATGCTTTGAGTTTGGACAAAATGACGTGTGTCAGAGCTGGCTTTGAAAATCACATTTTGTTTATTTAGTCATAGGTAAAAGGACAATAAATAACACTGTTTATAACACGTAGAACACAGAGAGCCTCTCTCGTCCCCGAGTCTTGCGGTTAGTAGCTGGTAAATAATAAAAAAAGTGGTGGTAGAAAAGGTATCTCATTTGTCTATAAAGAGGCGCATCTTGGCTGGCGAGTCAAAGACAACATCACCACCGCTGCCACCACCACCACCCCTAGCTGGTGGTGGCTTGCTTTGCCTGACCTTGCTGAGCCAGCCAGCGAGAAGTGGCCGTGAGCGGGTGATCGCCTCCGGCGTCAGCGTGCCCTGCTCGAGGGCCATCTCAAGGACGGCCAGCACCTCCGAGTCGACCTTATCCTTCGCCGGTCCGGTCATGTAAACCTCCGCTGCTGTTGACGATGATGATGGTGACTTTTCGTTTTCTGCAGCTTCTTCTTCTTCTTCTTCTTCAGGAATGGGCGAAGAGGGCGCCGAGTAGAAGACGTCATCATCGCTGTCCGCCTCTTCGGCAGCGTCGTGAAAGGCGTCCTTCTCTGCAACATCTTTATCATCTCCTCCACCAGTATCTTCAGCGTTCCCCGCCTGTTGTCTGCTGCTGTTCTCTAGATGGGCTCCACTGAGCTTCTCCAGTGACAGCTTCTCAAAGAGCCGCGCAAAGGACTGCATCTTCAGGTGCTGCTCCAGGCGGTCGAGCCCCTTCGCCGAGGTAATGTCGAGGTACTCGCCCAGAAAGGGCCAGTACTCCTTGCAGGGCACGTGCAGGGTGAAGGAGAGGTCGCGGGCGACCTTCTCCACGCCGCGCTCCGGGTCCACCATGCGCAGCGCCACCTGCCGCCTGGTGCAGTGCTTCGGACTGCGCAGCGTCTGGTAGACGCGCTCCGCCTCCTGCGGCGACATCGGCCCGGCGATGGCGGAAATCTTCGCCTGGTGGCGGTTCTCCAGCTCCACCGACTCGATGGACTTGCGCCCGTAGATGGGCGGGTTGACGCGCACGCCGAGGTCCGTCTCGCTGCGCAGCACCGTCACGAACATCGTCCGCGCAAAGAGCTCCTCGACGGCCGGCCGGAGGGCGGCGTTGCCGACCACCTCGAGGGGCGTCTTGCCGCTGCGGTTGCGCAGGTTGATGTCGATGGTGGGCACGTAGTTGAGGAGCACCTTGATGCAGGCGAGGTGCGGCACGCGACAGGCAAAGTGAAGCGGCGTGTTGTTGAGCACCTTGTCGGGGGTGTTGAGGAAGACGTCGAGGAAGCGGTTCCGCCGCTCCAGCAGCAGCTGCTCCGCCGCCTCCCTCTCCTCCTCGCTGTGATGGCGGCCTCCGTCGACGGCGGCCGTGGAGGCCAAGTTGGGGTAGCACCGGCGCATAAAGTCCAGCGAGTTGATGCGCTTGAGGAGGGCGGCGAGAACGGCCGGCGCGTTGACCACGGTAGCGCAGATGACGGCATTGTAGCGGGCGCCCTGGCGCAGGATGGTCGGCCCGTCGGAGCTGTAGTTGACCAGGTAGCGCGGATTCGCCTCCAGCAGCGCCTCAATCGTCGCCACGTCCTTCGTGTCGATGCACCGCTTGAAATGGTTCAACGCGACGACGTCCAGCGAGGGAAAGGGCAGCCGGTCGATGTTCGCCGCCTGAGCGGCTGCCAAGGTGCAGCTGTTGCTCGAGGACATCTCGAGGCAAAATGGTAGTCTTGTGANTCTCCTCGAAACTTTTTTGGCCCTGCCCAGGACATCTCCTCGAAATTTTTGGCTCCACCCAGGACATCTCCTCGAAATTTTTAGTCACGGACTTAGCCGCAGTGAGTGAGTCATGTCAAGGGAGAGTGCGCTATAAGCGCAGCTACGGCTTCACTAACGTAAACAAAGTCAAGCGTGTTCAGGCAGAAGCTGCGCTTTAAGGGCAAACTGAACTGAAGTGCCCTTATACTGCTTTCACTCTTTTTTGGCTGGGGTATAACTTACAAGGAAAACAGAACTTTATCGTTAGAAAGTCAGTCATTTAAGTTTAATAAAAAGGTTAAGATAATAGGGTCTAAAGTAACATAACCTAAAGTACTCCCCAACAATAACCCTAACCTAAAAAAACAACGAGGCCGCCGAAGGCGGCCGAGCCAAGGGGAACTCCCCAACAATAACC